GTCTTCAACGAAAGTCTACTTAGCCCCTTCAAAGAACCTACATATCCATCACAACGACGAGAACCGATAGTCCCTGACCTCGTAAATGGCGAGGAAGAATGGGAAGTCGAAGACATTCTTGATTCTCGTCGTGATCGAAATGGAAATCTTGAATATCAGGTTCTCTGGAAGAATAGTCCCCACGGTGATCGACGTTCCTGGGAATCACGAGCGAACTTGACCAATTGTCAAGAACTCCTTGAAGAATTCCACACTAGACGTCCCGACAAACCTGCGCCTATGATGATTCGAATCCCCCCTCTATTGACACGACCTGTCCACATACTCACACGCGATTCCACTCTTTTGGTGCAACGAATGGGTGGAATTCTTCCGAAGCAAGGGTCTGAAGAATCGGCTGGGTTGGATCTCTATTCGGCTGAAAGCGTTAAGATACCGGCACGAGACCGCAAGATTGTTAGCACCGGCATAGCAATGCGCGCACCTCACGGAACATATGCACGAATCGCGCCGCGAAGCGGATTAGCAGTCAAAGGGATAGATGTCGGCGCTGGAGTAGTAGACCGAGATTACACCGGAGAAGTACGCGTTGTGATGATCAACTCCACGAATCAACCTTTTCAAATACACGCTGGCGATCGAATCGCACAAGTCATTTTGGAACGCATTGCGTCATGCGATATCGAGGAGGTGTCAAGTTTAACAGAGACTCAACGAGGATCAGGAGGATTTGGATCGACGGGTAAATAATCGTGAGGACACGATTCTAGACGGGGGGTAATGTCATGAATATTACACAATCCGGATGGTTCTCCCGGATTCCATGGTATTCTTTCACTTTCTATACACCTCCGTATATTCGTAGGATATTCTAGGTATTCATTCTGACATGTATATAAGGAGCCTGTACTGCTCAATAACAAGCCAGACTCGAGCTGGTCTTTCCTCACTCACATTCCTCTCGTCTGTCTCCTCAGCTTTGTCGTAGCTCAGTCCAGTTGGATTGTTAGTTGCTGACATGCTG